TAGAAATTAATGAAATTGAGACTAAAATATGAACAAAAAATTAATGATTTGAAAGGTTGATTCTATGGAAGATTAAAAAAATAGGCCCCTAGCCAGGAGTTTTCCTATCAATAAATATCTTCCTACTTTTAACCTCAAAAAAAAAAAAAAATCTCCAAAAGAAGTGAAAAAAAAAAAAAAAAAATGAACAAATCAAAGAGCTGGTTCTTTGAAAAAATAAATAAAATAAAGTCAGACTTACCGAGAGAGAGAAAAAAGACTCACATCAAAGCAATTAGAAGTGAAAAAGGTGAACTCACAACAGACAGGGTCAAAATCCAGAAGATAGTAACTACTTCGAAAAATTACATTCCAACAAATTAGTAACTGTTAAAGAAATAAGACAGATTCCTAGACACAATACAAACTACCAAAACTAACTCAAGAAGACACTGATATACTTAACAACCCAATAACAAGCAATGAAACTGACACAGTCATAAAGAATCTACCAATTATAAAAAGCCCAAAACCTGATGGATTCACTGCTGAATTCTACAAAACCAATAAAGGATATTATATCACCAATACTCCTCAAGCTCTCAAAAAAGAAATTGAAAGGGATGGAGTGCTCCCAAACTCATTTACAGAAGCCAGTATCACCCTGATCCCAAAACTGGATAATAACTCAACTGAAAAAGAAAGCTATAGGCCAATCTCTTTAATGAACATAGAGGCAAAAATCCTCAACATGATATTAGCAAACAGAATGCAGCACATTATCAAAAAGATTATATATCATGATCAAGGTTTCATTCCAGAGATGCAAGGATGGTTCAACATACCTAAGTCAATAAATGTAATACATCACACATAAACAGAAGCAAGATTAAAAACCACATAATCATATAAAGCAGAAAAGGCTTTCAACAAAATTCAACACCTCTTAATGATAAAAACCCTGAGGAAAACAGGTATATAAGCACCATACCTGAATATGATAAAAGCTATGTATGACAAACCAATAACCAGCATCATACTAAAAAGGGAGAAACTATAAGCATTCCCCCTAAAACAGAAGAACAAGACAATTATATCCACTATCTCTTCTATTCAACATGGTATATGAAACATTATCCAGAGCAATTAGGCAAGAGAAGAGGGGAAGAGGGGTGACATGTTTACAGAAATCATAGAAGGAAATTTCTCAAATATAAGAAAAGTCTAAAATACAAGTAACACTTACAGAACACCAAACAAATATGACCCCCCGCAAAAAAGAAGCTCACTAAGGCATATCTTTATTAAATTATCAGATATCCAACAAAAAACAGAATTTTAAAAGTAGCCAGAGCAAAACAAAAAAAATCACATATAAAGATAAATCAATTAAAATCACTGACTTTTCAACATATATCCTATAGCCCAGAAAAGCTTGGAGTGAAGTATTTCAAGCCCTAAGAACAAATAATGTCCAGCTCAAATTAACTTACTCAGCAAACTACTCTTCAAGATAGATGGAGAAATAAGGTACTTCCATAAAAAAATACCAGCTCAGAAGATAACATGAGTGCTAAACCAGCTCCGGAGAAAATACTCAAGAATATTAACAGAAACAATGAATCACAGTTTTTTAAAACCACAGAGGAAACAACTGAGGTCAATGTATAAACAGCAACAACAACAAAAAACAAAAAAAAAAAGGAAAAGAAAAAACAAAGGATTCATCAACAGAAGACAATAATAGTAAACAACCAACGCATCTCAGTAACATCTCAACATTAACAGCCTCAATTCTCCAATTAAAAGACACAGACTGGCAGACTACATAAAAAACCAGAATCTTGCCAGGGATGTAGCTCAGTGGCACCATGCCTGCCTGGCAAGCGCATCGTCCTGAGTTTGATCCCTGGTACCAAAAATAAAAATAAAAATAAAATAAAAACAAAAAACAGACCCTAACAGTCTGTGGCTTTCAAGAAACTCACCTAATCCAAAAAGGTATTCATAGACTAAAAATTAAAGGATGGAAAACAACATTTCATGTACCAGGACCCCCAAAACAAGCAGGGGTAGCAATTCTAAAACCACACACAGTAAACTTCAAGTTACAACTAATTAGAAGAGTCAAAGAAGGTCACTATATACTAGTTAAGGGAACAATCCAACAAGAGATAACACTGATAAAAAACATATGTACCCAATACCGAAGCACCTGTTTTCAAAAAAACAGAAACTGCTGAAATTAAATGATCAAATAAACATGAACACAATCATTATAGGGGTTTTTAACACTGCATTTTCACAAAGAGATAGATCAACTAAAAAAAAACCAGTAAAGAAATATCAAAGCTGAACCACACTGTTAAACATATGCACTTAATATATACAAAGTGTTCCACCCCTCTACAACAGAATATATATTCTTTTCAGCAGCACATGGTCCTTCTTCCATAATATGTAGATCATATACTAGTCCATAAACCCTATTTAAGTAAATATAAAAGAAATGAAATTACCCTGTACAGACTATTAGACTACTGTGCAATTAAAATACAAATCAACAACAGAAGAAATTTCAAAAAAGGCAAATCTCTAGGAAAATTAACAACATACTCCTAACAACTAATGAGTCACAGAAGGAATCAAAGAAGAAATTTAAAAATTCCCGGAAGTTAATGACATGATGATAGAACTCAACCAAACCTCTGGGACACTATGAAAACAGTTCTAAGAGGAAAATTCATCATAATCAATGCTCATAGTAGGAAAACAGAGCAAACTCAAATAAATAACTGTATAAGAAACATTAAGATACTTGAGAAACAACAACAAACTAGCCCCAAACCAAAATTAAGGAAGGAAATTATAAAGATGAGAGTAGAAATTAATGAAATTGAGACTAAAATATGAACAAAAAATTAATGATTTGAAAGGTTGATTCTATGGAAGATTAAAAAAATAGGCCC